AATAATCATCATCATAATCATCATAATCATAATAAATGGCATTTATAAAGCTCTCAACCCCGATTAACGTACACAGGCTCTGAGCGCTTTACAATACAATACAACAGTAACATATTACGTTGTGTTCTTAAAAAGAAAATCTCTCTAATTATTCATCTTATAAAATTAAAAACAGAAATGACTTCAGCTAATATTTTATATAAATTTTAATTAATCAAAGGATTTATTGTTCTCTCTTAAACTAGACTTACTTGGCAGAGCATTCCAGATAGTGGGGCCTTGATATCTGTAAAGTTGCTGAACATTATTAAATCTTTTCGGTCTAATACACCTAGAAAATACTGGTCATAATAAGACAAAACTCTGGTATAAAATTGTGTTTTATGCACTACCGCTTTAACTTGTGCTTAACTCTGTAGGTGAAATCGCATTACACCATTACAAGTAAAATTAGACCCATAGAGTTTTCCATTATCACTAGTTACAGCAGGAGAAAAAATAACAACCATTAAGTTCAAGGATAATTAGATTAACCTAATGGCAGATGTAATAAGGCTGAAATACAATGTGCCCATAAGGCTAGTTGAAAGTCAAAGTAAAAGATAATAAATGTACTTATTCATGTCACCCCAAAATAGAGTGTAATTTATTTGATTGGTGTGCGTTGGTGGTTATGTTTTGTCCTTTCATAAATTGCCAAACCATCAAACAAACCTCTCATCCAATACATGTAAAGTCGATATTGTCTAAGACAGCCATGCCTTGTTGAGTAGAAAAGGGATTTTGTTAGACAGGTGAACGTCTTGCACTAAAAAATTGTGACATTGTAACATTATTCTTTAAAAGCAAAGGGAGGGGGTGAGAAGTGGCATATTTTATATTATTTTATATAATTTTCTTGGACTGGTGTCCGCTAGAGCAGGTTTGATTGTGTATATTTTATTTTCTCCAATATTCAGCTGACGCCATGACCCTGAACGATTGCCCCTCCGACCTGGCCAGAGACCACAGTCTGCAGATCTACAAGAACTCGTGCTTCCAGTTCGTCCTGGACCATCACCGAGACTACCCCGAGGCGAATAAAGACTGCAAAAGACACGGCGGTACCCTGGCTCTGACCAAGACGAAAGACGTGCAAGACTTTCTGGTGGGTCAACTGGAGCATACGTATCACCACGGCTCTGTCGTCTGGATCGGTCTCACTGACATGGTCAAAGAAGACACATATGTGTGGGAGGACGGAACTGTTCTGGGCCCAAACGACTTCAAGCACTGGGCATCAGGGCGGTTGTTGCATCAGTTCGACGACTGTGCCGCGCTGGACCCTAGCGAAAATGGTTTGTGGTACGACTACCCGTGCGAGAGTCATCTTTTTGGACTTATCTCTGCCGAAAAGTCTTATGTTTGCGAATACAAAATGCAAGTCGCTTCCCCAACACCCCCAGTAGAGGGGTGATACGAAGGCGGCAATCTTACAAGACAAGTACGGACGAAAATGTAACTAGATCTAACAACCTGAGGTATTCTCAACTGCATCTTATTTTCACTCCTGGTTTCACAAATTAAATAAGATAATAAAGACTCTTTCATGTTCTTAAATGATGATAAAGAAGCGAAATGCGCGTGGTCGCATCACAATACATCAGAAATCTGCAAACGCACAAGGTACAGAAAAAACTGGCAGGGTTGTCACAAGCGTTTCCAGAGGGAGGGAGAGGGGTCCTCTGACAATACGTGAACTGTACAAAAACATCGCTTTGATTCTGATCTATGCTCTGAAGTAAAAACAACCAAGAAAAAATAAATGTTTCATACTATGCTCAGCTCGTGTTACTTCTGTGTTACTGTGGGGGTTTTTACGTGTGTGTGTTTTGTTTTGTTTTGTTTGTTTGGGGGGGGGTTCTTGTCGGGTTGTCTTTTTGTTGTTGTTGTTGTTGCCTTCTTGACGTCATGGGGATGGAAGATAATTTATTATGGTTTATGGTAGGTATGGGAACAGGAGGAGGAATAGGAGGAAGAGAAATAGGAGGAAGAGAAATAGGAGGAGGAGGAGGAGGAGGA